TCTATATCTCTCACAATATATATATATATGCGCACGGGCGCGCTGATCATGACCAGCATTTTCTGCAAGATTCAAGCCAGTTTTGATTATAAAAAGGGAGGTCGAACGCGATTGTATATCTGGTTAAATTTATTTTTTCTATTTAATAGTATTAAAAACATTCATAAAAAAATACTAATTTTAATGAAAAACACGAATTATTTCAATCATGCTTGTATACCAAATTATTTTTGTGTTATGTCGTTTATGATATTAGTTCACTGCTCTGTATGGTTAACATTAAAAGCATTGATGAGTGGTGACATTTTGATAGAAAGGCAAATCAAATTTGTGATATGTAATTAATTTTGTTCACCATTTTTAGTTTGTGGGTATTATTGTTTACTTGTATGGGTTATATTGATTACTAGACCACGAAATGTATGATTTTTAAAAGTTTTATAATATTGATATTAATTATCTATATTATACAAAAATTGTATTGAAAATATCATTCAAATATAAAATATCTAAAATAACTTTCAAGACAAAAATCATATAGTTGTTGTTCACGGGCTTTATTGTCTTTTACTCTTGGTTTTTTATTGTTATTATTAAATTGGGTGAGAATCAATTTGATTTTTCTAATAAATGCAAAAAACTAAAAGTTGTTGGAGTGTTCAACATATACCCTAACAAACAGGAAGAGCTCATGTTTTTTTGATGTCGTGTAAAGACTCATCTAATTGTCAAACATTGCCTCTAGAGGCGATGTTAAAAGCAACTCACTATGGTCTATCCATTCAACTGACGCGTGGTGGCAACAGATTATCAATATGATTTTAGTGATTTTTTTTTCCTTTTTTTCTCTCTATTTTTTCTTTGAAAAAATACAAAAGATTCCTTATGTTTTATTTATATATCCAATTTTATCGTCATTTCTTTTATTGTGATTTATTTTGCTTTTAATGCATGTTGAAGCTTATTTTTTATTCAATTTAATCCCTGAATATTTTATTTCATTTAGTTTTTGTATCTAATCTGGTCCCTCAATATTTTTTTAGAGGTTAAACTTTAGATTAGATTTTGTTCTTATTCTCTTGATTTCTATTTTTTATCCATTTATCCATTTATTTATATTTTTTAATTTTGTCCCTTGATATTTTTTTATTTAATTTTTGAATTTGATTTTGATCCTCATTCTTTTTATTGCTATTTTTTTTATTCATTTCTTGTTTTATTTATGTTTTCAATTCTATCCCTTAATATTTTATTTGATTTAATTTTTGTACTCAAATTTAATCCTTAATATTTTTATTGTTATTTTTTATCTCTTTCTTGATTTATTTATTTTTTTAATTCAACCCCTGAACATTTTATTTAATTTGGTTTTTGTATTCGATTTTGGTCTTTATTATTCGATTGCTATTCTTTTTATATTTTATTTATTTTTTAATTTAATTCTTAATTATTTAATTTTTATATCATATTATATGCTTATTATTTGATTATTGTTTGTTTGTTTTTTATGATTATGAGTTTTTCTTCATTATTTCCAAACTAGATTTGATCATTGTATACCTATAATGGGCTCATCAAGTCAACTCATATTTTTTTTATGTTTTTTAATTATTTTTTAAAAATTTTATTAGTTGGCATTAGGTTTTTAGGCATTTGGCTTTATAATTTTTTTATGATTTCCTTTTAGTAAGATAATCTCAAGTCACAGGTTAGTTAAGTTAACCTGACTTAACTTAAATATTTTTATTTTTTTTATTTATTTAACCTCGGTCCTTTTTTTCTAGATTTTTTAATTTAATTTTTATTTTAATCTCGTATCGCGTGTCGTGAATTAGCATTGACTTTTTTTCCATACATTTTTTTTTTACAATTGATTTTTTTTATTCTTTTGGGATTTGATTATTAGAATTTTAGTTTTGTGATTTTTTTTAGGCCTTAAAAAATATAGTTTTTTTATCTTAATCTCATATCGAAAGTCGCGGATTAGTAGAGCTAATTGATTTTTTTTTACTTTTTTATTTTTAAAATTTTATTATTTAATATTTAGTTATTCAAGTTAATTTGAATTAACTTACTTTTTTAAATGTTTTTTTATTGTTTTAAATTTTACCTTTTTTAAAAGTTTTTTTCTAATCTCATATCATCCATAAAAGATTAAAAAAATTAAACATGACCTAGGTTAGTAAGAATTAGCTCATCTAATATTACATATTAGTAAAGTTAATTTGAATTAACTTATTTTTTAATATTTTTTATTAATTTAACTTTTGTTTTTTTTTTAATATCTTCATCACATATCATATCACATAGGTTATCATTCATCAAGTCCAACCAAAATTTATAGCAAACAGGAAATAGCCTCATATTTCATGGTAATAACAATTTTATATAGCACGTGTTAAGTCCAAAGAAACATCACCTGCCGACCGGCATCATCTAGCATTCCAAATCAGCTGTACTCTGTGGGCAGTCCGTCACATCCACCGTTTGATTATCTTAAAAAACCTATAAAAAAATACAAATCAGCTGTTATCTACACTGTGGGCAGTCTGACACATCCGCCGTTTGATTATCTTAAAAAAACTATTAAAAAATCCAATCTCCCCCCGTCTCCGTGCACGTGTCTTCCCTTTGTTTTCCAGCCAACAGCACGTGTGTTTGTGTCTCAGTGATATTCCAAATGGACAGTCAGGATCCCTTGGAGTGTGGCTCCCACGTTCCTTCATGTCAAGGAAAATCGAGTGAGGGTGCTTTATTCATGATGCCATGCCAACACAGGCGATCATCTCTTTCTAGTCAACCTTCTGGGGTTGACTGCTAAATGAACAAAAGCTAAGGGTAGATATGTAATTTCACTATGTTGATCAGACAAGCTGGGCGAGCATGTCCGCATTCGGACGAAAGGTCAAGCGAAAGAATCAAATCCTTAGGCGAGTGAATCCATGTTTTTGAAAAGAATAAAAGCAAAGAATTTTTATTTGTTTTTTTAGAAGATGCTTTCCAAAAAATTCCAGAGATTAAACTTGTAAGAACATTGGAAAGACGTAATAATTCAATAGATGAAAAATAATTAATATTTTTCTGAGTGTGTGTTATTCCGGAGACAACTGTCCTGATTAAACCCAATAACTTGCTGATTGACACTTAATACAACGAACTTCAAGTTTTAATCTGAATCATATTTTTTTTATTAAAATAATATTATTTTATTTAAAAAAAAATATTAAAATAACATTGTTCCAGTTAATAAAAACAGAAGAAGCACGTATGATGAGGATTGATTTGAAATTTTGTCTCGGAAAGGTACTGTACCAAGCGTGATCCCCCCCCCCACAGAACCTCCTTCACCCAACCCATCGCCTAAATCCACTGGATTTTAAATCATTGAATAATCTTGATGTCCAGTGGGTTCAGCATTTGAAAAATCAAGAAGGTGACCGAATGATTTTGTAAGGAGGCAGACAAGCTAGGTGATGATGTGTTCACGTCCACGCATGATGGTCTCCTGAGAGATATTATCTTAGGGGACATGGGTTCAATCACTAAATGAATTTTTCATTGTGAATGAGCTTCCTGAAAAGAAAGGAGACCTCGTGCTTGTTTTTTATACAAGTGATTGAGATTTTTATCTACGTGGAATAATAACATTATTATAATCCTTCAGGTTTGAGTTTTGGATAGCATAATATAGTTAGTGTTTTCACATACAACATTAATAATGATATGTCTCCACATATTAACAGGACAGTTCTTAAGAGATATTGTCTTAACTGAGATAGGTTTAAGGATATTGTGAGCTTTGTTCTTACCTCTTGAGAAGACAAAAGACTCCCTTGCTATGCAACGATCAAGGCTCCCATCTCCTAGCTAATATGAGATATTAACATCATCACTAAGTAAGGTTAGTGATTTGATGTTTGGCTAGGGAAAATAGGATGGAGGAGCAAAACTTCTTCGCAGCCAACATGCATTCATTCATACAATACAATGTGTTTTAAAGCTATTAAACTTGGTTTAGATCATGAGTTGGATAATTAATACAGGTTAATAAAAAACATCATTTAATTTTAAACAAAAATTGTTGTTTTGAATAAATTTTTCTAAATCAAACAAAATTTTAATTAAATTATAGATTAATTATGATGTCAAACCAGATTTAGTAATTGTTGTGTGGCGTTGAAACAAGACTGTACATGGTAAAAAATATAGCAACCCCCCACTTCTAGATTCTTATGGTCATGGCGTTTAGTTTGTTCATGATTGAACATGGAAGTAGCATGGGATTGGAGATAATTCTCACTTGAATTTAATTGAAGTTACATGTTGCTATCAAGTTTTAAATTTTTAGTTGATTTTAAGGTGATGATAAGAGGGATGGGATCTTACATCTGACTTCCATGGCTATCAAAGATTATTATTTAGGGGGTGAATTAGATAATCTCTTATACAATGCAACGTTGTAATATTCTATATTGGATGCTAAAGCATTAAAGTTTTTTTTTAAAAAAACAAATTTAGTTTGTGGGTAGATGAACTTGTTTTTTTATATTATCATGTTATCATTTAGGATTTGATTTAAACAAACAAATCTGAAACAAATTATCATGATTCATGAATGTACTAATTAGGTATAAATTACTTATTTAAGATTTAATCTAAAAGATATTTAAAGTTGAACTATATCTCTTTTTTAAACATGTGAATTCAATTTATTTATTAATTAAATTTGAAATAAACACTATAATTAAATCCCATCATAGTAGAAAATTAGTTCTAAATAGTTTATAGATAAAACTAATCCAATTAAATAAAATATATTTCACACACCAAGCCATCGATTATTCAATTTTTATGAGGTGCTCTGTAGATTTGTTTTTCACTGCAATTTTTTATTCAACAACGAAGCCCGCGATTAAAAAAAAAAAACTACAGTTTAAACTAATACCAGCTATGCGTAACCGCATTTCGCTAAGTTGAATATTTTTATTTTTTATAAAAAAACTATATATATATATATGTATAGGTTTTTTTAATATATTTTTATAGTATGATAAATTTAAGTTTAAATAAAAAAAATTATACATACATGTGATAAAATAAATCAACAACTATATATACAAATAAATAAATAAAAAGTTATTTACGATGCTTAAAAATAACATTTGAAAAATTAAGAGATAAATATATATATCAAAATATTTAATATTAAAAGATGAAATATTTATCCGGTTATGTTTGTTAAATTTTTTATTAATTTTTTTTATTTAAGCAAGTGATAATAGAAATAAAGATATAAATTAAATTGATCGAATAAAAAAATCATGCAAGGCTGCATGTAATATTATTTTTTTATTTTCAAAAATAAAGTTCATTTATGCAAAAAAAAAACTATAAACGAATAAATTTTTTTTTTCAAATTTAAATGCATAACAAAAAAATAATCTTCATTAAAAGAGGTTCTTCAAAACAAAACAAAAAAAGAGAGAGAAAAGGGATGCTAATTTAAATATAAATTAAAAAATTTAAAGAAAAAACCATAAAAAATAACCATTAATTTTTTAAAAATAAAAACAAAATATTAAATGTTATTGGGCTGGCAAGTCAGGTCAACCCATCTAGCTCATTTTGTCAGAACCTACGTGCGATCTTGTCTTTTCATGCCTGCTTGATTAGGCCTTTGATTTTATTTTGCTTTGTGCAACGAGGGCGGATAACCACTACAAATATTTTTGAAAAAAAAGATAGACAACATGTCATTTTATTTATCTAGATTATGACTGCTATAATAACTGAAAAATCAGAGTTTAAATTTATTTTATCTAAAAATTAATTTTCAATCTATTTTGACCTGAAACACCTATAAAATACTATAGAAACTATGACAAATCTATTTATGACCTCAAAAAATCACCAAAAAATTAAAATCAACCTAAGTTTAGATATGTTTTTTCATGAATGTTAAAGTAAAAAAAAAATCTAACATGAACTCTCATTAAATTGAATCATTTGACATAAATATCATCCATTTTTATAGTCTAAGTCAATGTTAATGAAACTTTTCTCTCTCCATCACAGGAATCCGACAACCTTTTTGTCTCATTTCTTAACCATGGACTAACAAAGAAGAAAAATAAATTTTTGTATCAAAATTAAATTAGAAATATATTGAGGTTCTAAAATTGTATAATTTTCATGATTTTTAAAGTTCAATAACCAAAGTATATCTTTTGCGAAACTTATAACATGCCATCATATTTAACAATCCTTTTTTTATTTCGATCCCTATTCTTTTAATCCTACCTTTTCATAAGAAATTAAAATCAATTAGTCTTCAAATAAAATTAAGCACATGTTTGTTTTTATATTTTTAAAGTGCTTTTGAAAAAAATTTAAATTTATTTTTTTCTTTACTTTAAATCAATATTTTTTTACTATTTTCAAAACATTTTGATGTGTTTATATTAAAAATATTTTTTAAAATAAAAAATATTATTTTAATATATCTATGAACCAAAAACACTTTGATTGATGTTTCAAAATATCCCTTAAATCGTCAGAAAAAATATTTAAGAATTAAATTAAAAAAATATAATATTTTGCACAATACATCATAATAATACACGAGATGATGAAGAATAAAACCTTATATAATAAAAAATCCTGTCTTTTAGAATAATGCTTAATTATTATTATTATCTTATTTCTATGTAAAACTTGATTCTTGTAAATTTTAGTTTTGTTAGAGAGAGAGAGTAGCTCGAGGAGATGTTTGAGATATTATATTAAATACATTTAAAAAAGTCTGGGTGTCAAGTCACCTCATTCAATGTTTACACGGATAATAAAGGAGATGATCTCTTTCTTTTCTTTTCTTTTTGGCATTCTTCCTCTCTCTTTTTTCCTTTTATTTTCATTATTTTTTTTAATTCTACTTTTTAATATTTACTTCATTTTAAATTTATTTTAATAAATTATTTTAATTTATTTTTTATAAGATTGTTATTATCTCAAGCAAATATTTTAATATTTGTTTTATATTTAATTTTTAGAATATAATAACTTTTGTGTTATTTCATTTTAAACTTGAATTAAATAAAAACTCAGGTTGATAGGTTTTAAAATTAATATATTAAATTAAATTTAATAATAATAATAAATAATTTTTAATAATTTAAATATTTTTTATATTAAAAAATTATTCATGGTGCAAGCATATAATATAGTTGGAACTATAGTAATTGAATTTATTTTGTAATTATTATATTAAACTTTACTATAAATGAAGGTTGCTAGGAGGAATTTTTTCATCCAATCATTAATTTTACATGATAATTATATTTGAGTGGTTGGTAATATAACAAATAGAAATTAAATATTACATGATCAAGTTTAACTTAATGAGTTTAAAGATTTACCAACCTAAAAAGATTGTTTTGATACGTTGATTTTAAAAATAATTTTAATATATAAAATTTTAAAAAATAATCACAATTACATTTCCAAATATATTATTAACAAAATTCAATGATAATTTAAGTTCATATAATAAATATAGTAGCACTTGAAATCTTAGCTCAATGGTAGGAGAGATTTATTCTCTTCCTCTGCACCTGGATTCGAATCTTATTGTGCACGCCTGTCATCCCATGATGATTTACATGTTTAGTGGGCCGTGTGATTAGTTGTGATGCGTGTAAGTTGATCCCGACACCTATATAAATAAAAAATATATATATAATACTTGAGTGATAAGAAATTAACAGAAAAAATATTTTTAGTTTAAATTTTTTAATTTATATTTTTTAATTTATATGTAAATATATTTATATGAACAACTAAAAATCTTGAGTTGGTATGATTTGAATCTTGAGAGTGATTATTCACTTAAAAAAAAGTATATCAATGTCACCAAAAAAAATTACTACCGAAAGAATATTATATTCTCTTACAAATAATGGTATACTATTGATTTATAAACCTACAACGATGTGATGGGTAGGCAATCATGTTTGATGAGGAAAGTAAACAATACATCTTGAATGGCTTTCCATTGAATTCTGTAGAGTTCTCTTGACGAACACAGTGGATGTGAATTGCTGTTGCAAGTTGCAACATAATTTTCGTTAGAGCATGGTTCCCTTTCGTTCTCTTTGCACTCCAACGACCCCGGAGTAGCGGTAAAGGCTCAACTTTCCTTGATTCCTTTCAGGATATATAACTCGAAATATGCAAGTGGTATGAAGTTTCTCGTGTAAACACCAATTCTATGTAGATTTGTTGCTTAAATCTGATTAAAGAGACGTTTTTTTGATACAGAGAAGATGATCCGAGACACCATCATAGTTAGTGTGTGTTTGTGTTAGTGGTGGAAGTTGTGGTTTGGATATGGAATCCACTAAAAAAAACTAAGAAAAACAGAAAATATTAGTTTTTATGATTGAGTTTTGTGCATAAATAAGTTATATCCAACCATAACCTTAACTATAAAAGTTAAATCAAACACTCCTGGTAATAAAGAGGTATAGAAATGACTGCCTGCTATGGGATTTGCTGGGTCTGGAGGGCCATCTGAACAGATTTCATGCTCTTGGCTGCCTGCTATGGGATTTGCAGCATCTGGACTGGGTCACTCACTATATTATCAAGTCTCGAGATTTTTAGCCTGTCTGTGAGCTCACTTCTGAAATATATTAAGCTAAAGCCCAAAGTTATGCAAAGCCTGTCTACTGCGAAATGGTTAACTCACCATGGCCCTTTCTACCTCCAATACCACAGCAAGAAGCCATGAGTGCATGAGAATGAGATTTTGGGAGCGTTGCTATTATTTTTTAAAATATTTTTTATTTAAAAAAGTATGTTAATAATATTTTTTATTTTTAAAAATTTATTTTTGAGATTAGCACATCAAAATGATTTAAAAATATCAAAAATATATTAATTTAAAAAAAAATTCAAATTTTTTTAAAAACATTTTTGAAATGCAATGTCAAACGAACTCTTAAGTGGTGTTTATTTATTATTTTGACGCAAAAAGAGTAAAGAATGTGAAGATGTATCTCTTGTGCTTTTTTAAAAAAAAAATAATAATAATTTATTTAGAAAAAGAGATTACATGAACGGTACTGCTAACATTTTATATATATTTTTAAAAAGATCAATAAAAAAAAAAACTCTCCCGGTCAACAAGTTTTTATAGAAGAGCCTGGATGATTTCCTTGTAGATCCGAAAATTAAAAGACAAAAATATTGTTTTAATCCCATTCACCACAGAGTTTGAGGTCACCTACGAGATTTATACCTCATGCCAACTCGATCTTTGGGCCACTACATGTTTAATCCCAATATTGATGCTCTAATTTGTTCTTTACAATTTGTTCTTTACATGATTTGGAATTTACTCTCTATATCTCTCACAATATATATATATATGCGCACGGGCGCGCTGATCATGACCAGCGTTTTCTGCAAGATTCAAGCCAATTTTGATTATAAAAAGGGAGGTCGAGCGCGATAGTATACCTAGTTAAATTTATTTTTTCTATTTAATAGTATTAAAAACATTTATAAAAAATATTAATTTTAATGAAAAACACGAATTATTTCAATCACGCTTGTATACCAAATTATTTTTGTGTTATGTTGTTTATGATATTATTTCACTGCTCTACATGGTTAACATTAAAAGCATTGATGAGTGGTGACATTTCGATAGAAAGGCAAATCAAATTTGTGATATGTAATTAATTTTGTTCACTATTTTTAGTTTGTGGGTATTATTGTTTACTTGTATGGATTATATTGATTATTAGATCATGAAATGTGTTATTTTTAAATGTTTTTTAATATTGATATTAATTATTTATCTTATACAAAAATTGTATTGGAAATATCATTCAAATATAAAATATTTAAAATAACCTTCAAGGCAAAAATCATATAGTTGTTGTTTAGAGGCTTTATTGTTTTTTATTCTTGGTTTTTTCTTGTTATCATGAAGTTGGATGAAGATCAATTTGATCTTTTTAATAAATATAAAAAAATAAAAGCATTTAACATACACCATAGCAAGAGGGAGGAGCTCATGTTCTTTTGATAATGTATAAAGACTTATCTAGTTGTCAAACATTGCCTCTAGAGCAATGTTAAAAGCAATCCACTATGGTCTATCCATTCAACTGACGCGTGGTGGTAATGGATTATCGATGCAGTTTTAGTGATTTTTTTTTATTTTTTCTTTGAAAAAATACAAAAGATTCCTTTTATTTTATTTGTATATCCAATTTGATCGTCATTCCTTTTATTATTATTTATTTTGCTTTTAATGCTTGTTGAATTTTATTTTTTTATTCAATTTAATCCCTTGATATTTTATATTTTATGTCATTTAGTTTTTGTATCCAATTTGATCCCTCAATATTTTTTTAGAGGTTAAACTTTGAATTAGATTTTGTTCTTATTCTCTTGATTTCTATTTTTTATCTATTTATTGATTTATCTATATTTTTTAATATTATCCATTGATATTTTTTTTATTTAATTTTTGAATTTGATTTTGATCCTTATTTTTTTTAGTGATATTTTTTTTTTTCATTTCTTGTTTTATTTGTGTTTTCAATTATATCCCTTAATATTTTATTTGATTTATTTTTTGTATTCAAATTTGATCCTTAATATTTTTATTGCTATTTTTTATCTCTTTCTTGATTTATTTATTTATTTAATTCAACCCCTTAACATTTTATTTAATTTGGTTTTTGTAGTCAATTTTGGTCTTTATTATTTGATTCTTATTTTTTTATATTCTATTTATTAATAATTTAATTATTAATTATTTAATTTTTATATCATATTCGACGCTTATTATTTGATTATTGTTTGTTTGTTTGTTTTTTTTTTTTATGATTATGAGTTTTTCTTCGTTATTTCCAAACTAGATTTGATCA